CGTGTTTCCCCCAAAATAAGACAATGTCTTATATTTATTTTTTCTCAAGAAGACACACTAAGGCTCATTTTCAGAGGATGTCTTATTTTCACTAAGTATAATACAACAATCTACATTTATTCAAACACAGTTAAGTCATCTTCTTCTGGAACCTGACAGGGGAGCTGACATTGTTGGTGAGGCTGGCGTTAGTGATGCGTGAACTCCTTTCCCCTAGTTGTTCACACATGCACAATAGGATGCCTGTGACAGAGGTTACCACACATGCACCTGCACAAGTGTGAACAGCTCAGAAAAAGGAGCTATGGCAGATAAAGGTATTCTAGTCTTCCTTACCACTCCACATCGAAATGCATGGCATGGCTATGCAGATATGCTACATAGCCACACTATCTTATTATTGGGGTAGGGCTCATATTTAACAAATGCATAGAAATTCTGCTTGGGCTTATTTTTTTGGTAGGTCTTATTTTCAGTGAAACATGGTAGTTTAATGACATACACATGTTGAAGAAATTTACCATAACTAAACCAGCTCTCCATGATATTCTCAGACGCATCCTCCCTACTGACCAGCACAATGCTCTACCACCAAAGTAAACTCACTCAGAAATTTTTGAACAAAACTCAACTTCCATAGTGGTGAAAGGATTAAAAATGTCCCCTGGACATTTGAAAAACATGATAGCCAAAACACTATCAGGCTTATCAATTCTGTCAACATGAATGGCTTAAATTGTTCTCTAAAGAGGCACAGGTTGGCTGACTAGATACATAAACTCAGACCAGATACCTGATGCATACTAGAATCTCATCTTATTTTAAAGGATAAAAATAAAGTCAGGGTGAAGGGATGGACATCTATAATACAGCAAATGGAAATCAGAAAAAAAGCAGGGATTGCAATTTTATTGGCAGGTACAATTGGCTTTCAATCAACACAGATAAAAAAATATAAAGATGGTTGCTACATATTTGTCAAGGGAAAAATCCAACATGAGTATAGACAAGAGATTCTGATAATTAACATTTATGCACCCTACCAGAATGCTCCTCACTTTATAAGGCAAACCCTAATGGGTATGAACAACTTGATATCTTTTTGCACTATAATAGTTGGACATTTTAACACAGTTAAAATCAGTTTTGGATGGATCCTCCAAGAAGAAACTAAATAAAGAAATAGTAGACTCAAACCTGGCCCAAGAACAAAGCAACTTAACAGACCTCTACAGCACATTAAAACTAAATATGCATTCTTCCCAAAACATGGATCATCCTCCAAATTTGACCATATCTTAGGACACAAGTGTAGCCTCAGAAAATTTAAAAGTACAGAAATTATTCCGTGTACTTCTTAGACCACTATGAAATAAAAATTGAACTCAACAGTAATAGGAATCATCATACTCAAACGAAGTCATAGAAACTAAATAATCATAGGCTGAATGATAGCTGAGTCAAAGATGAGAGTAAGAAGGAAATCACCAATTTTTGGTACAAAATGATAATGAAGACACAAATTTTCAAAACTTGTGAGACTGCAAGGGCAGTCCTAAGAGGAAAATTTATAGCATTGGAAGCCTTCACCAAGAGAACAAAGAGATGAAGTAAACAATTAATGGATCATTTTAAGCAACTGGAAAAGGAAGAACATTCCAA